AGGAATGCAGGGTATTATTAGACAGAGGAAACGTTCTCCGCAAACGATCATTACAGCTAATTGCATGTTTTCCCTGACACACTCAGCAGCCAGTAAGGGCAGTTCTGGTGACTTCTGTGGATGGCATCAGAGTTTTCAATAACCCATGATTTTTGTGGTGAACAAAAGATGAATGGGTATGGACCAGCCCTGCCTGTTTCCTTCTCCACCCTACCTCATTTGAGACTTCCACCAAAGTGCTCACCAAAAAAAAAACCACCACACTTGCAGAGGAAAGAGGTGCACAAAGGAGCCTCCCTACTTGTAGAGGAGAGCAGTTTCACAAGTACTTGCCAATACGTAGCAAGCAGGACACTTGCTGGGGGAGAGGGGGCAGCGGGAACGACTTCTTGCTCCAAACTAAAAGACAAACTGCTCATTAATACGCTTTCCATCTCCTGCAGGATTTAGATGTGAGCTCCTTGCACAGAACTGAGCTGGAGGTAAAACTCAATGGGCTCCAAGAGCTGATGGATTTGAAGAAAACCATCTACGAGCAGGTAAAAACGCAATCGGGAGAGCGACCCTGGCACGCACGCAAGCTATATGCAAAAACGCAGCATTTTTGTGGGCAGTTCCGCCACAGAGAGGGCACTGTTCCAGACCGACAGCAAAATGAGAGCTTGTCCAGGGGAGTTGCATGGTGTTACAGACAACTATTTGATGGCGTAAGGTAGGGTCTCAGGAGCTAATCCCCTTTTTTTAACTAAACTAGCTCCGTTTAAAATTTGATCAGGATGTTCCTTCTGCCCCACAGCTCCTGCAGGGAGGCTGCTGCAGCGGGTCTCCCCTCCTAACTCTCTAACTCCTAATTCCCCTAGGAACCCCCACCTAACTCCCGAGCTGGCTGATTTTGGGCTCAGCTCCTAACCCCCTTGAGACCAAACACCCCAGGTCAGGAGCAAGCTGAATATCATTCGATTCAGATTCAGAGGAAGGGACCACAACAAAAAAAAAAGACAAGCTGTGGTGAATCTGGGTGAGGTCTGGATGCTCTTTAACCCAATCCAACATACTCCATTTCCACTTAAATGAGAAGTATGATGAGGTATGAGACGTCAGGTATGATTTCACCAAGGGGGAAGGATACAGAGCCTTCAGACAAACCCAAAGGCTGCAGCGTGCCTGTATCTACTCAAACAGGGTGAAGCAATTACAGCCACTTACTCAGAGACTGTAAAATGCTACCAAGCAGGCTCAGCAGTGTTTTGGGAATACTAATGATTTATCTAAATTCTACCAATATAAGCAATTAAAATGCTTGACAGAAGAATGTTAACATTCCTTGTGGGGAAACTGAGGCACAGAGAGGCAGAAGGACCTGCATAATATCAGACCTGCATTAGAACACATGCCCTGCCTGCAACTAACCACGAAGCCTTACTTTCTCCAAAATTATTATTATCCAAGATTATTCCTGGTGCAAGGCAATTCACAGGGGTAGTTGGAAATCAGATCCTGCTGTGAGGATCTTCTTGAGCTGATTTCCTCCAGGTTCCACACTGCTATCTTGGCAGCAGGCTGCTTTTTTTTTTTTTTTACCGATGCTCCATGCAAAGAAATTACTCTCCACCTCTCTCTCTGCCCTCTGCTCTCAATAGCTTGGGTTTGGGTCAGTAATTTTCTCGCCTGTACCTGTTGATTTGACTGACATCAACGTATAGGCACACATACCCAGGGGAAGGGCAAAGGAGGAAAACTTTGCTTGACAGCTTTGCTCACAGCATGTTGGTATGAATCAGAAGAAAATCCCTGCCTCAGTCCTCATTAATAAACCACCAGTTTTTTTTTTTTTTTCCCTGGCAGAGGATGCTCAAGTATTTGCAATAAACATCCATTTTCTCATATAGCTATTAACCTGCTCAAAGATTAACAAAGAGGCTCAAGGATTAAACACCAGTGGGAAAAAAATACACTGATAATCCTGCTCTTTGGAAG